AGCTGCCTTTTGCAATTGACTGATGCTGATTTTGTCAATGCCGATGATCTTCAAATGGTGCTCCAGATGTTTTGGGATTGCACCCAAGGCACCCATTACTATTGGTACTATCTTTGCTTTGTTTCGTCACAGTCATTCTATTTCTATCTGCAGGTCTTTGCATTTGGTGGTTTTCTGCAGTTCTTTCTCTTCTGTTCTGCTGTCTCTGAGTATTGCAGTGTCCACTATCCAGATTTTTTGTCTTTCTTATCAACAGTTGTTAAGTCTGAGGTGCTGTGTGCAGTCTTAGTTCTTCAACTTTTCTCACTCAGATGGCATATGTCTGGGGTGGTATGGGATAACAGCCTGTGATTTCTAACCTGAATAAGAGCTAGAAATAAACTGTGGATGGATTCCACTGTAGGTTGTCTACTTACAGGCCAACTTCTCTTGAAGGAACCAAGAGAGGAAAATATCTGTTCACCATAGACAACCTCAGTCATGGTGGTGGTGGTGGTGGTGGTGAGTAACAATACCTGTGGCATGACATCATGATGCAAATGATGCAAATTCCATAGTTGTGTCACTTGGCAATACAAAGAGAAGGATCATGCAGGACATTCAAGAAACTGATGGACATGATTTGGCTATCTGGCACCTTGTTTGTAATCCTGCTCAAGAGTGAAAGAAATAAAGCAGGTTGTTTTTTTCATAAACTTTCATTCCCTCCTAGCACAGTGAGTTGTAAGTAGTTTGGGAGGAGAAAGCCGTGATTCTGAGTGAAAAGATGCCACATGAATGTTTTAAATAAATACATATATTTGTATATAATTGCTCAGGGCCACTTTTTGTTCATGTCTTTTAATAAATTTCCTTTTATGCTTTTGTAGCTTATATGCAATTCAAAATTATAGAGCTATGGACAAGTGTGTCCTACAGAGGTGCTGTGTGTTTCAAACAATCAGGAAGAGGAGGGAGAAGTGTTGCAGTGGGTAGAGAGGACTTATACTTCTTAAGAAAAGAATGCATTGTAAATAACAATTGTACTTTCAACAACCTTGAACAGTTGCACAATAGAGCCAATCATGTAACATCTTTTCCTGCATAAACCAGGGTTACACGATATCTGTTGGGCTGAGGACTTCACAAAGGTTTGCATGGCATGTTGAGAGCTGGATTTGAAAAGTGGGTAACCCAATCTGTTTGGAGGAGGATGAAATTGTAAAATCAGGTATCTTAAGACTCCGCAAGGCTTGACATATTGATGTAGCCCCCCATAAATATTTCAAGGGCCACCTATGTAACCCGTGCATTAGGTGTTTTGTATTCCTGTTTAAAGATGTACAGCCATATATTTACAAATAGCTCTGTGGTTGTGAGTATACAGTATATAAAGGAAGAAGATGGATGGATGGATGGATGGATGGATGGATGGATGGATGGATGGATGGATGGAAACATTTTCTTTTGGATCTGTGGTAGGACTCTATAAGCTGAAGAAGGAATAGGGATCCTGCAAATAAATTGTGATCAGCTTGTGTTCTCCACTGAATAATGTAGTGTCTTCTCCGAATGCCATCCAGGCTCCTGACTTCTTTGATTTTATTTTTAAAATAAGTTTTGAATTATATTTTAATTTGGTGAGGGATGTTACAAAATGAGTGCTGGTGGTATATTTCTTTTCAAGAATGTCCCAGAGGCTACAGCAATTATTAGGTCAAGGAGACACATCTCTCTGTCTCTCTCTTTCTCTCCTACACACACAAAAACACAATAGATATTATTCAGTGCCCCCACTGCCCCAAAATGGAGGAGTTAGTTCACCATGGGAACATCCAAAAAGGTATCTGTTGGCCTAGTCAAATACTCCCATGGGGTAATTGGGCCAATTGACACCCTTTTTGGTGTCCCCATGATTTAGCCCTCCCAGTAGTAATGTATGGCTGTGAGAGCTGGACCATAAAGAAGGCTGAGCGCTGAAGAATTGATGCCTTTGAACTGTGGTGCTGGAGAAGACTCTTGAGAGTCCCCTGGAC